AAAGGGAAACTTCTTTTATTCGGGAAGAATAAAAAAAAAAAGCGCCAGGAGCGATACTCATTGTTGCTCTCGTCTCCTGCAATGGACATGGGTGCTGGAGTGTCACTGTCACGTTACTCCACGGCTTGAATCCGGGGAACGGCTGGGCTACCTGATCCTAATCCAGGGCATGCGGTGATTTCCAAAGGGGCCTGAAGGCTTCAGCAGCCGCTTCTTTCAAAGGGACGTGCTGGAAAAACAGGGGGGAGCGCTGCAAGGATTCCTGATCTTGAAGGGTACTCTGGTTTAAGTCAAGCTGCCGTTTGCTTTATTTTCTTTCTGCGGAATCCGGCGCTCCTACCGAAGACGGCTCCTGCCCTTTATGAATCCACTCTTGTAGCTGAAGCGCTCAAGTTTGCCTGAAATGAGCTACCCTTACCTGACCTAACGCTTACCTTTGCTTGAGCAAACACGGGCTTTTTGTGTTATTAGGGAGAAACCTCTTGTAAAGTGATCTGCTTCGGTGCCATTTAGGTGATGTTTGTCATGTAAACAAATTGTGTAGGGTAGTTAAAAAGAGTGCTCGATAAAATCCTAGAATTCCATAGGCTGCTCTTCCCACTGTTTTGTTTCAGTGTGATACGCATCCTTGACTCTTCACCCACCTGGAATATGCACTGTGAAAATGGACTTTAGTTTTTAGTCAGTTGCTCCATCCTCCTATAACGGTCCTTTCTTGAAATGGAAATTATTGCTTTAAAGAAATCACAATTAAAGAGTGAAAACTGCAGTTATCAAAATGTCCAATTTGTACTGAACTCACTAGATCAATATATATATTTAACATTAATGTAATTTTTGTATATAAAGGGTCAATATGTCCAGCACTTCCATTGTAAAGGTGCCAAGCCTCTGAGTGCCACATTCATCCTGTGTGAAATGTGGCAGCTTCCAATTGCTTTTACTGAATACAAGGCATGGTGAGCTCTGGGAACCTCTATGTTCATTCTTCATCAGAACTGTAGTACTAATTGAAAAAGGCTTTGGAGGTTCTCTTACAGTGCTTTTCACTTCACGGAACCACCTGTGGGCCACTTTTGTTTGCCACTGTAATGTTGAAATGAATTTAAAAAAAAAAAAAATCCATTTTTTAGGGACTCTGTGTGTGTGTGTGTATGCATGTATACATATATATCTGCCATAATCCGTACTGATGGCGTAAGTGAGAAAAGCCACAGAGCGAGCAGGTATTGAAGCTGAACCTCTGCCACTTCTGTTTCAGCCCTGAATGTCTTGAAGGTAGGTCTGTGAGAAAGTTATGCAATAGATGTCACTCTGACTGCAAAGCAAGTAGGGTAAAAATGAAAGGCTCACACTTTATCTCTGGTGATGTCTAAGCTTCTAGTCTAATTTAGGAATGTAAGTGTCATTATCATGAAATTCTAAATCACTCCTGAGAAACAAAGAACAACGCTTACTACTTTTCTGCCGCAAAGAAAGCGTCCAGTAAAATAATTGACGCCTGGTCTGAAAAGCTGTTCCTTTGGTCTGAAAAGCTGTTCCTTTGGCGGGCACTGCACAGAGCAAGGCTGCTGGAGGAGAGCGAAGGGCCTGGGGTACAGCACGCCAACTCCCCTGGCTGCCATGGAGTGGGGAGCATTGCTCTTGGCAGCCACGGGGAAGCGTGGGCTGAGCTTGTGCTCCCTCTCCTTTGGCCTCTGTGGTTCACTTTGCCTGATTAAACTAAACTCTCCAGGACAAAGACTTCTTACATTTAATAGAAATCATAAATTCTATAAACTGGACACATACATGGATATCCAAATTAGCTTCTGGTATGTCCCTGCTCTGATGTGCTGCTGTCACATTCATCCTTGAAAAATTCTGGGTGTCAGGATCTGGGAAGAGCTCGCCCTGGCTGGGTTCTTACAGGCGTGCCTCCAGGAGAGGTGTTCTGCTTACGGTGTTTGACAGCTGTCCCTTATAACAAGCTTGGCTTGGTACCTTACTTGTCTTCAATTGTTTCTTCCTTTTGTAGTCAGCAGTTTTAAACTGTCAAATTACCTATTATTAACAAAAATTAATGTCAGTCTTCTTGAAAACTTTACTAGCTGTTTAGGGAATGTTGATTTAATAATTTATACTCATCCCACATTCTCCAGTACTCCAAATCTGAATTTGTGTTTTAGAAGAAAATAGATGATAGTAATTACAGCTACTTCTGTGGAACCTCTTTATAAAGAGCTATACTTGCAGCCTGATACTGACATACTAAGTAGCTGTCTAAGAGAACAGCAACTGAAGTTTATGTCTTTAAAGGATGACTATTGAGTTGTATTTTTTCAACAATACTAGACAGTTTTAGTGGCTGCACAACCCCATGCATCCTAAAAAAATTGAATCCTGTGTAGGTAGAAACATTCAGTTATCCAAGCAAAAAATAATGTGCTAGTAGGTATTAACTGCACTTTGAAACTTGATCGCTGTCACAAGCAGCATGGGTCTAAGAGGGCTTTATGCAAAGCTGTCAAGCCAGTTTTTGTTGCATTCTGCGTTGCAGTTGCCCTGCCCTGTTATAGGGCTTAGTTGGCTTTAAGGTGATGGAGCAACTGATATTTGGAACAATTAGTCTTATCCCCCAAACTGTGAGTTGCTTCACAGATGCTTGCTGTAGAAACCTGACAGTTAATTTTTCCCAAGTCATAGTTTTAAAGCTGAGGGTGCTTAAAACAGGGAATATAGTAACTGCAAGGACTTTTTAAGGCTGAATTGTTAATGAAAAATTAGCTCACATAAAATGCAAGCAACCAAAGTCCTAGTGTTTATCATTTATATTTAAAAACTTTACTCATAATATGTGACATATTCCAGTGAAAACTTGGCTTCATCTTGCATGTTACCAGAATGCTGACCAGTGACCTAGTGAGACCTAAAACTTAACGCATTTTGATGAAATAGGAACCAGTGTCCTGACTGTCTCCCAGTGCAGGGCATTGATACTTTGGATCATAGTCTCTCTTTTAAGACTTTGAGCAGTAGTCCTAGATTAATGATTTCTGGCAAGGTTGGCAGTCTGCACATTGTAGGTGTGGCATGACAGTACTTTGTTTTAACCAACCAGTTGCCATTTTAGCACTGCTGTAAGATACATGTGTTTGTAAGAGAGATGGTTTCCCCCCAGATCCCATTCCATTGACTATTCTCCCTTCTGTAGATTTTCTCATCTTCCCCATAATCCTCCTTTGCCTATTGGTAGATTACTGGGGTGTGGGGTTGATTGGGTGGGAAGCATTTTTTCTGCTGGGAAGGCGTGGTTATTCAGAGGTGCAGATTAGAGGTGCATGAGGACACTGTCCTTGTGACACTTATTGCTACTTAAGTTTGCAATTTCTACTCTCACTTTAACCATCTAATGCTGCGGTGCAGCATGTCTCCTGTAGCATGAAGAGATGGGCTGTGATTTGGGAAGGGAAGGAGGGACTGACTTGTTACAGTACCAGTAATAAAATATTTTGGGGGTGTAGTTTGCAAGACTCAGTTCACAAAGATCTCAAATACTAATTCTGCTAGGCCAGCTGCAGAGTAGCTTTTAATCATTATATAGAAACTGTCTTCACTATTCCTAGGCCTTATCCTAACTCTTTTCATTGTAAATGCATTTTGCCTGCTCTAGCGTCCTTGTTTGCTTAAAAATGGAAATACGAAATCCTACTCATCTGTTGCAGAAATGGGTGGACTGACTACACAACTGAAGGTTGATGCACTGAGTTGATGAACTATGAGTACTAGGTGCTAGAGCTTGTACAGTGGTAGAAACTGTGCTAATATACACAATTTGTTATTTTAAAAGGCAAAACAAACCCAAAACTTACTGTGGGTATTAAAGCAGCCACGTCACTGAATAATTTAACTTTTCTTTTTTCCCCTCCTCTTTCTTCAGGTCCCAAAACAGTGTTTTTCTGGGCACCTATTATGAAATGGGTAAGTATCAGATGCCAGTTGGTGTCTGGATGTCAGTCAGAGGGCAATCAGCAGCAACTCATTGAGCAAGCAATAGTTTCCCAGCAGATATCTGAGCCTACGGAAAGATTTAATACCGAGCCTCTAATTTTTAATATACGGGAGGAACAAAATTAGCCTTAGTAACATATCGCACAACATGCAGGGGATACAGCAGGGGAAGAATGCTTTGTGGAAAAATTGTACTCTTTGCTGAAAGTTTCACAAAATCTTTCTCTTGTGAAACACTAACTGTTACTCAAGGTAGGCATGAGCTAGCATATAATTCAAAACTCTTAAAGCATGTATTTCCTCTGAGATTGAGAAATTTGAAAAGTATCTTAAGGAAGTCAATTCCTAAGCCTCAAAGTTTGAAGGCAGGTTAAAGTGTGTCAGAGTGCAAGGTAATCTTGAGAAAACACAAGCAGCCGTTGCCTAAAAAAAGAAAAAAGGCAACTGCCATTTTGGCTATCAGTAGCTCTCTGCTTCCTGTGCAGTTCTGCTTCCCACTCAATTACACCCCTTGGCTATGTCTGTGCACAGGTAAAGTATATGCTTCCTCCCAGTTGTTGTATTGGTACAGATAAAATAAATGAGCTGTAAAATCATAAAGCTGTTTGATCTCCTTGTTTGATAACAAGCAAGGATATAACCTGCTCTCCCTATTGCCAGCTGGTTCGTAAGTTTGCTGTTGTGAACCCCAACTTTTTATAGGCCACAGGCAACACGTTACACTCTAAGCTGTAGCGTGGTTTCTTTGTCAATCCAAACCAGAGCTGCAGGAACCGTGGTTAACCTTCCAGAGGCTCTCCCAGGCAATGGGCTGCCTGAGTGTGCAGGCAGTTCTTCTGAGCAGGCTCTGGTGTTGACTGCTGCTGTATCAAAAGAGCTAATACACAGATGGTTTTTCTTTTGTGAACATGCAGCTCTAAGCTTACCGTGAAGTTCTTCACTGAGAAATTAAAATTACTTTTCCCTACATGGCAAAGGCACATTTACTGCAGTTACTTGGGTGCACTGAGAATCTGCACCTCCATGGCAGCAACATCAATCCCATAAGTGAGGGAGCACACAGAAGTCTCTACCCTTGAAAACTGGTTTCTTGATTGGAGCGAAAGGAGTCCTTAGTGGCAGTCAGTGAATTAAAAGCATTAGGACTCTTATTGTGGGATTTTGGTTTTGGGGGTGGGGGTGTGTGTGAACTCCTGTAACATGAACATAAAATTGTATTTCCAGCAGAGGGCAATAACACAACACAACAAAGCATGCAGCGTGTTTGCTAGTAATGTTGTCAAGTAGATCAGCCAAGCTATTCCTCACTTCACCTGGAAGTTTTCTACTTTTACTGAAATTATATTAAAAAAGAAGCACTTTCACCTCCTCAGATGAAGCTGTGTGAAGACTACATGGTGTCACACCTACATCTTCACCAGCAGTATCTTAGCCTGAACTTTAGGAAGAAGGGCCTTATTTAGATAAGCTTCCACTTGTTGCATGAAAACCAGTTTTTTTTCAGCTGGTTTCTTAAGCACCTGTGCTTAAATTAACCTTGTTCTTAAATTAATACAAAATTGCCACTGCCTGGGATTTTATTGCAAGCCAGTTGCACCCCCTGTAACTGTGTTCTTATTCCTACCACAAGGGACTAGAAGCGGATAGTGTCCCCGAGAGTCTAATTACTCTGCTCACATAATGCATCCCATCTCCTGCATAATGCATATAGAATAAGCACTGAGCTATGAAGCAACTTCCCCTTGTAAAGCATTTGATCTGTTGCAGGAGGTCCTGGACTGGTGCTCACTGAATTTCTCTTTACAGGGTTTGGTATGTGCTGGAATGGCTGATATGACCAGACCAGCAGAAAAGCTCAGCACAGCACAGTCTGCAGTACTAATGGCCACAGGTAAGGCCAAAGTTACTTCATGCTTTTACACAGCACTCTCTCTAAAACTGTATATACTTCTTTTCAAGTCCTCCATCGGTACTAATCCACTTCTACAGAAAAGGTTTAACTATAATATGCTAGCTCTGACTATTGCTGTCGGATGCTAATTCTAGGACAGACCTATACTTGTTATTAAATCTGTAAGAGTTTTGTGATTATATAACTGTTTTCTACACGTGTCTCAATTTGGAATTGTCCAGAGCAAGTTGTTATGAATTAGGATACGAGTTTCATCCCTTAAGTTACAACAGTACCACTCATTCCACTAAGTGACCTCTTTTGCTTCAGGTCAAGTAATTTTGAAATCAGTCTAGGATATAGTGACTTTTAGAACAGACTTTAAGGGATTAAACAATGGTAGGGTCATTACACTAACGTAACTGGAAAGAATTTCCATGTGTTAAAAGAATTTGGAAGCAGTGGTACATGGACTGCTGCACTGCTGTCTGCTGTGAATTTTCACACTGGCAGAAACAATGTTCTGTATGCAAGGTGTTCCACCAGATCTTGTCAGGGGCAGGACTTATGGCAGCTAAAGCTGAAAATCAAAATCACAGCTGCCACCTTCTTCCTTCTCTGGACTTTATTGTGATACCTGACACAGTGCTGAGCATTTTGCATGATATGTAAACCCTTCTTGACTGGTAGATTCTGTGATCTCTAAGCTGGTGCAGCAAGCTGGATATACTACAGCAAAATGCCACTACCCTGCAACTGTGCTGGAGAATTAAGGTCTAGACTGCTGTACTGTACAGAGAATCTTTGTTTGATATGTAAGACTATGATTGACCTTATTGCCTGGTTATTTTGGAAAAATGCAATACATACCCATAGCTGCCCCACTGGCACTTGATGCGCTTTTAACTGAGGAATGGCTAGTTACAAGAAAAGCAGTTGTCTAACATGAAGTTGTAAAACTTGGTTAAACTGGCCCATGATGCTGTCTCCAAACTTAGGGGAATGTCTGAATATTTCACTTTAAAGACTTAACATCATTAAACTGTCCCTTTCATTCAACAGGCCTTATTTGGTCAAGGTACTCTCTAGTTATTATTCCTAAAAACTGGAGTCTGTTTGCTGTGAACTTCTTTGTTGGCTGTGCTGGTGGCTCTCAACTCTTCCGAATATGGAGGTATGTATTAAGAAGGGCTACTCTACATACTATAATTAAGCATTCACACCACCTCATCTTAACCAGGAATTTAGAAATTCGACCAGCCTCAATGTCAGTGCAACAGGCAAGAGGAACTGAACAATTAATTAAACATTGCAGAACTTTTTTGCTACATTGTTAGTTTTCCAGTTGAGTGGGAGTGAAGCTTTGAATATTTTCAGCATAGCTAGAGCACCTTTTAAGGAATGCTCTGTGTAAGACGTAGTTTCTGGGTCTAAGGCATTCTTTAAAAGCTGTTGGTCTGACTGACAAACAGCCTAGACTTTCTCCTCTTCATAAGCTTTGCACTTCTGTCAGCTTTCAGTGTTGAATCGTGTCAGTTCCAGCTGCATCAAAGGGCTCTTAAGCAGAGCAGCATTTTAATTTTTATTTAAATATTTCTTGAGGAAAAATTTGGAGTTCTCTGGCTTCAGTGCTGACTGCCAATGCAGCAAATGTAACAACTAATTTGGAACTTCTTACATGAACTAAACTATCTTATCCTGAGTTTCCACCCTCAAGTCCATTGTAATTTTAAACCTCCTCTGCTGAACAGATTGTTAGGAAGACACTGTTATTGTAACTGGTGTTCTTTTCTTAGTCTGTGTGCTTTTTTTTCCCCCCATAGGTATAATCAGGAGCTAAAAGCAAAACAACAAGAGCAGCTGCAGCAAAGAGATGCTTAACCCAACAGTTCAAATCCAACAACGCACAAACCCTTCCCCATGGGACCTAGCTTCACTAATTTTAATGTTTTTTTTCCTCTGAGAAAATGAAAGAGGAAATCTAAACGTCTAGAGAGCAAGTGTTTTCTAAGTGCAAATAACAAAGTATCTCCACACATTTAAATAAAGTGCAACCTTTTAAACCGAAGTAAAATTGGGTGTCTTATATGGTCTCTGTAAAAGAAACTGTGGATTGTGCCTAGAACGAGTTGCTGGGCCCCACCTTATCTGACTCTAGTGAACAGTGCCAGGAGTGACACGGTACTGGTGACGGTCAGCCAGAGCCTCAGACCAAGTAATCTTCTTTCATGTCACGGTCAGACCTGGGGGTTTTACCTTACTTTCAGTAACCAACAACAGCAGCATTTGCATTTCACTCCCTGATGCTCTTCCCTGGTAGTGTAAGGATATTCTTTTTAGCTTCAGCTATGTATGTCTTCATTTGTTTCCCAGCCACCACCATCTTTAACAAGAGGAGGGCAAACTAGTATGTGCCACTGGTGTTTTAGCTTCTGTCATCCTTTACAACTAGAGGCGGAAGATGGGTACATTCAAGTACCTGGTTCTTGGGAGTGTGAAAAATAAAAAGCCAAAACTTCCATTACTCACTTTCTACCTCTTAAGTCCATACAGAGTTCCTGTGAAGGTGTGCACTCAGGAAACACGTACCTGTCAGTTCTCCAAAGCTTTGGAGGCAGTGGTCTGCTCCCATCTATGGCATGTTTGTGAATAAACACTGAAGCCTTCCCTGAAAGTCAACATCCCTCCCTACTTGCTCTCCTGTAAAGAGGAAGAATGTGCCACTGTGAAATAGCTTCCAAGCAAAGGCTTTACGTAACACTGCAAAAGCTCAGCTGTTACTGAGAACTACGAGAATTGTGCTCAGAGTGTGGCATTGATGAGCTTCCCTGGCAGGCTCTCTGAGACCTCTTCCACCAAAGCTAGGAGTCAGCACCAGAGCTCAGGAATTTATATCCAGGAGAAAACACTAACTGTGAGACAGAGTAGCTTCTTCAGGATTCAGCTTTCAGGAAAATTAAGGCCTTGAAATACTGGAGTTTTGCAAAGTCCTGTTATTAAGTCTCTCTCCACCCCTATTTTCCCCCAATCCCATTTGAGTTATCACCCCAGCATGGCAAGGGTGGAAAGGAAAGGAAACGGTTCTATAGTTACAAAAGCTACAGCTTCTTGTTGTGGTGCTGACGTACCCTCCTTTCTCACCCTGTGTATAACATTATATTATCCTGTGCGAAGTATTTGTGCAGGATACTTTAAGGAAAGCATTTTCCATTCTAACAAGACATGCACCTGATAGTCTGGCAGCTCCCCTTTTTCAGAGGCTGCCC